CCCCACCCACCGCCCCCCCCCGCAGCCCCCTGCAGGGCCATGGCGCCTGGGGCGGGGGAGATGGGCCGGGGCAGCCACGGGCCAGGAGCCGGGCCTCGGTTTCCCCATCTGGCAAAGAAAAGGGGCCTGGGCTTCCGGGCTTGCAACCACGGGCAGGCGCTATCATGGCGAGCTGGACTGGCGCCACAGGCGCTGCTGGGTGACCTTGGCGGCCCCAAGCTCCTAGCCTCAGTTTCTTCTTATGCAGAAAGAGTCCTGGGGGTACGGCCTGCCTCCCAGGGGTTATTCCTTCCCAGAACATTAACTAAGTGCCTACTGTGTGCTAGAACCCCATGTGCACTGCTGGACAGGGGTACTGAGTCCCTGCCCAGGGGGACACACCAGGTGGTTCCCAGGTGGCTCAGAGTTATGGGGGGGGGGGAGAGACTGTGGATTTTGAAGGTTGAATGTCAGTGCAAAGGCCCTGGGGTAGGTCTCTGCCTGGCACCAGGAGCCTCAGACACAGGCAAGGGTGCTTCACCCAGCACCCCCATATTAATGCTCTGCTCTTCTGTTTTGAAATTCTTAAGTCATCTTTGAGCCAAAGGCCTTGTGGTTTCATTTGGTATTGGGCCCTGCAAAATCTTTAATTTTTAATTTCTGCCTTGCTAGGGATGGAATCCAGGGCCTTTGGGCATGGGAGGGGGGGGCTCCCCCTGCACCTCGCTACCCACCCCGGCCTTGCTGCTGAGGTGGGCAGATCCTGCCCAGCTTTAGGAAAGTGGGAGGACTCAGGTTTTTACAATGAGGGAGGTGGGAGCCACAGAAGGTTGTGGGGAGAGAAAGGACCAACCTTGTCTGCAGCTGTGAAAGGATTCTGCCCTGTATGGGGAGAATGGACCCCGAAAGGCTGCTGAAATAAAGATGTTACTTTGTGTGCCTGGTGCTCACCCTGTAAGGGTCAGGGCCTGCAACCGGGGTGTGGGAGTTCTGATAGATTTTTTCTACTGCAAATTGAATTCAGGACCTTGCACTTGCCAGGCAGGCACTTATACCATTGAACTATTTCCTGGCTTAGGCAGGGCAAATAAGCAATATTTAAGGTCCTCATCTCCCCTCCCCACAAATAAAAGTCCTCCAGATAAATGTTATCTTGAGGAATATTTTTTTTCTTTTTTGGAGGAACTGGGGATTGAACTCAAGCCCTTGCGCTTGCCAGGGAAGCAGCACTTATTCTACTGAGCCACCCCCGGCCCTCAAGGAATA